TATATTGTACTGTGCTGAATCTAGTAGAATCAAATCAAATAAAATGAAGTGAAGTGAAGTGAAGTGAAGTGAAGTGAAGTTTAGTGAAGTGAAGTTTAGTAAAGTGAAGGGAAGGGAAGGGAAGGGAAGGGAAGTGAAGGGAGGTGAGGTGAGGTGAGGTGAGGTGAGGTGAAGTTAAGTGAAGAAAGTGAAGGGAAGCGAAGGGAAGCGAAGGGAAGGGAAGAGAAGAGAAGAGAAGAGAAGAGAAGAGAAGAGAAGAAAAACGAAACCAAGCGAAGGCTAGGGGAAATGAAATAAAAAAGATAACGAAAAAAAAGCAAAAAGATTCTATATATTTCAGCGTTATTTAATGTTTAATATTTTATTGGCAATTAAATTTTTTTTTAATAGCATTTTAGTTATCCTAATAGTTTTTCATATTTCTTACAGAGCTTTAAGAATGCAGTAAAGCAAAGCTTAAATGAACTTAGATTGAAAAAGGTAGCAAGCTACAATGTGCTATATGGTTGATAATGTGTGGTGTATACATACCTATTTCAAAAAAAAAAAAAAAAACGTTACCAAAGGCAATAGGCGATAGTCGAAACTTAGTGGTTTCATATTGTGGTTTTATATTAGTGGTTACACGATGTGTACTGTGCTGTATTGATGGTAATGTGCGGTGTATATATAGTAGTGGCTACACGATGTGTACTGTGCTATATTGATGGTATTGTGTGATGTATATATACTAGTGGTTACACGATGTGTACTGTGCTATATTGATGGTATTGTATGGTGTATATATAGTAGTGGCTACACGATGTGTACTGTGCTATATTGATGGTATTGTGTGGTGTATATATACTAGTGGTTACACGATGTGCACTGTGCTATATTGATGGTATTGTGTGGTGTATATATNGATGGTATTGTGTGGTGTATATATACTAGTGGTTACACGATGTGCACTGTGCTATATTGATGGTATTGTGTGGTGTATATATACTAGTGGTTACATGATGTGTGCTGTGCTATATTGATGGTATTGTGCGGTGTATATATAGTAGTGGTTACACGATGTGTACTGTGCTATATTGATGGCATTGTGTGGTGTATATATACTATTGGTTACACGATGTGTGCTGTGCTATATTGATGGTAATATGTGGTGTATATATAGCAGTGACGATATGCATTATATCGGTAACATAACTATGATTTGAATATTTGATACGAAAAAAGCACCGCCAACAGGCATCTCATTCCTGAAGACGCCTCCAGATTAGACCATCCATGGTTCTGACTACCTTAGTTACCGTTGCTATGCCCCACAAGCTCAACTAATTAGCTACAATATCTCAGAATTGAAAACTCTGATAAAAATTGTTTCTAATGTTTACTGCAGTGAAAGGAAAACACTATTTAAAACAAATACTGTGTAGTTGTTTGTGGGACAAAATATTTAAATCCACTGGGTAAACGGATACAACAATGATTGGTTTGCTGTTGTCTGAAGAAGAAGCATGGATTCAAAAACTTTTACATTTTATATATATTATTATATTATATATCTCAGGAAGAAATCAAAGCAAAAACGCAAAGGGCACAAGAGCTAGAACAAGAAAAAAAGGTGAGTGTAGAAATGTTAAAAGTATCTGTATGTTAAGCGCATGCACTATGCTTTTATTCACAATCAACCCGTCCAGTAGCACAATCCTTAATATCTTTGTGATCTGCGCATGCTTATGACCGGCCCAATATAAGGGAATCTAGACTCCACAGAGTCCAATGAATAGCTGTTATTACAGATGAGCCCGCAATGAGATATTCTTTTATTTAAAAGCCATACAAGTAATTATTATTATTATTATTTATTATTATTATTATTATTAAGTGAGGCTATCGGATCGATACAATAATCATTGTCTCATTTGCGTCTTATTTGCGTCTCATTTGCGTCTCATTTGCATGCATCCACAATATTTACTGGTCCAGTGTTTTGGTCCAGACATTCCATACATTGTAGCGTGTTTTTTATTGGCTATATATTTTATTTTGTAGAGACTGAAAAAAGAAGTGAAAACTCTGAGCGAAACAAACTACGAGTAAGTCCCAGTATAGATACCATATTTTTCATTCATGTTCAAATCCTAACCAATATTTTCACTTGTATTTGTTTAATAATTTGTTTTATGTTTTTGTAGACTAAATAGAACGATATGGATAATGAAGGTAAGAATCCTACGTCATCACATGTCACATGACATCATATGACGTACGTAACTCTATAAGCTAATTACGATTTTGAGACGACAATACCGAAATATTGACGGCTAGTTGGGAGAAAATATATTCGGTATTGGGCGGAGTCGCGAAGCACAAAAGGAAAAAAAAAAGAAAAAAACTCACCGATTTTCTTTGATTAAAAGCGCGCTATGGCGCAGGCAACAAGGCGTAAAAATTGGACGCGCGCGCGCTTAAGCTTTCCTTTTCGTCGCGCGTTAGCCAATCAGAAACCTTACTTTTGAAACGACAATACCACAAAATATTGTCGCCTCAAAAATATAAGAAACTATTTTAGTGAATTGCGATACCGTACGAGAGTTCTATATATATGCGACGTCACTCGTATTGAAAAACGACCTTCGAGTCCAAAACGAAATGCAGTTATATGAAGGTTTTTCTTACAATTTCTTCGTGACAATATTGGGTGTTATGTCCAGAATTCTAATGGTTTCAGGTGGAAGTTGAATCATTGAGAAAATTTTACGCTCTATTTTAGCGGTTTTTTGAGCAGTTGGACCCGAAAATACGTAATAACTTAAAAGCTCAATATTTCTGGACGGCTTAATGATACAGTCGATAAACGTCGTTCTTTGACTTAGGATCTTTCATGGAGAACCAAGCCTCCACAAAATTAGTTTTAAGTGGTTATTCTGCTCACTGTCTACTAAAGGGATGTTTAATTCCTCTGCAGGCCGAAGATGAACTTTTGGAATATGATTTCGAGGCGTAAGTATGGAATACTTGAGGATTTACAATTTCTCCAAACTCATCAGCAGTTTAATTAGAATAATATGTTCAAATATTTTTGTTGTTTATTTAATTCTAGACTTGAAGAGGATAATGAAGAGTTAAAGGTAATCATAAAAGTAAAAAAGATTGCAGAGAAATATCTTTTCCAGTAATTCCAGATTATTTGACCGATTATTTGACCGATTATTTGACCGATTTGCGTGGCATTTCCTGGAGAATAAGATTTTTTTGGTGTTGTATCCACATTCATGTGCCTTCTCATGTTTAACTGTTAAACACAGAAATGATACTCTAGGGAATGACACGTGGTCTGAAATATAGAGAAATATTACGCCCAAGTAGATCTAGTCCATTAGGAACCTTTAGCAACGTTTTTTAGGTACCGAAAACCTCAAACTGCAGTTGCAAGTCAGACGTTTTCCGTCAAATTTTCGACATTAAGAAGGCGAGAAGGCGTCATAACGAAGTTGTTGCTGGAAGACCCGCCATATTGAATTTCATTGATGTTGAGTGTTTTTCCGTTTTTGCGGGCGTGTTTCTGGACCTGATCCCTAGCGGTTAGGGGTAAACCTGATGCTATCTCTATTTAATCACTCTAGTCATAAGTGTATATATATTAGACACTAGTTATGGAATGATAACTAATCATCAGTAAAATAATTTGTATCTACAGAAAAAAATTGAATGTCAGATTGCGCAACAGAAAACGTAAGTGTTCTTGTCATAAACACGTCATATTGCTGGTTCAAACCCAAAACATACCCATTAATTCATTTTTTAGTTAGGTACATACATTATAAAAATATATTATTAACAATGTTTGGATTCTTTTGATTACAGACTTGAAGAAGAGATCCATGTGTTAAAGGTACATTGAATGTGTCCAACGCCAGGATGCAGGCACCAGTAGCTTATCTGACTGATAATCATGTTTGGCGCAGCGCATCTTATGTGAGAAAAGTTTGCTGGGAGTCTGTTTGATTTAGGGGGTTATTTCCGCGTTCTCCGGTTGTCCTCTCTCATTTCGATATGTGAGTTAGCCGTGCTAACGTGCATTGATCACCCCAGAGGTTGTTTTAGTTTTCGATCTGTTGGTTAGCCGTGCCCTGATCAGCCAAGGGGTTGTTTCAGTGTTCGATCTGTTGGTTAGCCCTGCCCTGATTACCCCAGAGGTTGTTTTAGTGTTCGATCTGTGATTTAGCCGTGCCCTAACTTAGATCAACCCAGAGGTTGTTTCAGTGCTCGAGCTGTGAGTTACGTTAGCCGTGCCCTGATCACTGAGTCCAATTTTTGTTTCAGGGTTTGATGTGTAAGTAAGACGTGCTCTGACTTAGATCAGCCCAGGAGTTGTTTAAAACTCGATTAAATTTTGCAAAAGTTTTTAATGCCTGATTTGGTGAAAAATGTAATTTTGATTAAAAAACTTGATGGAAAATGTGATTATATGATTTACCCGTTATTTGTTGTTCAGGAAGAGGCTGAAAGCCAACATTTGCAGATGAAGACGTAAGTATTCCAATCTACTCTCCTCTAGTATCCCGATACCATAAACAAACAAACAAACATTTGGTGCTCTAAATGGACTATTTCCACGATACGGCGGCCATTTTGCCAGGGGGCAAAACTAAACAAAGATGACGTAAAGCTTATAGAATTTCGCGTGTTTTTCTTTCCTTTATGGGTGAAGGTGATCGATGTGTCATCTTAATTCATCTTTTGTGGTATTCTCTTTTGGTGATGTCAATCGACGTCATTCCTATAACAAAGCTTTATTTGCCCCTTGGACGCCCCATAACGCCTTGCGATTCAAGATGGCCGCTGTATGGTCGAAGTAGTCCAGTGATTCACAGTTTAGTCTTTGTTAGTCGTGCAAGGATTTGATAATGAAGTGGCTTATCCGACATATTCATCGGACTAGTGTTGAGTACGAGACTCATTCTAGATCATTTAAACCCATTTATCTTTTTTCACCATTTTTCATTACAGACTGGCACACGAGAACGAAAACTTAAAGGTAGGAATTAAGAAGCTGGCTTATCAAGATAAGGAGATAAGTAACATTATTCTGCCTATACTTCTGCCATTATTCCACATGCTGCAGAAAAAGCAGCATAACGTTGTTCCTTACTGACTTCTGAGACATGAAATAGTTATTGATAAAAAAGGGTCAAGTTCAAGACTAGGACATTCTTTACTTACATGCAGTGGTCTCGACAACTAATATTAGTGAATAACATATTTCGATGATAAGAAGCTGACACACAAATATATGATAAACAAAGACGACTTAATCACTGATATTTACTCCACAGCAAAATACCGACAACCAGAAGATCCAACAAGACCTGTAAGTATTACTCCAGCCACATAAAAAGTAATTCCATCAAAATGATGAGCTGCATTCTTCGTCTCTTCATTGCTCTTTAGATATTTACAAATATGATTAAAAATATAATGATGATAATTAGAATAGAATAGAAATTCAACTTTTTTTTTTGACTAGTAGTTTAACTGTACGGTCTTTGTTCTTCATTACAGACTAAACCAGGAGAATCAAACACTAAAGGTACTCAACGCGACCCCAAACAAGTCATAATGATAAGTTTATTTTTAACTGGGTTGACAGAGTTGAAAGGAAAGCGCACCTTTCTGAGGTTGCGCAGAAAACTGGTATCGAGTTGGACGCGCGCAGAATCACTGGGTTGTTTTAGGTAACGTTATTTTTATAAAATGGCGGAAAGCTAAGCAAACTCTCTTGAAAAATAGACCGAAAACCGAAGTTAATGTAACTCGATTCGAAAGATAATGCCCTGTAAAACGACGTACCCTAAAACAGCTTCATGATTCATTGCACGTCCTACTCCTTACCAGTTTTGCGCGCAAGCAAGTAAAGGCCAATACACTATTTGTCTGTTAGTTTGGTTTACTGATAATTTAATTCTTCTTTTTGTCGTACAGAGTGAGGCACAAAGCTTCAAAAACCGATGCGAAATGTAAGTTTTAAAATGACAAATGTCAACATTCTCTTGTCATGCCGACATGTTGGACCATACGAACACAGTATCTTTTCATTCAAGGTGGCTCGCGGCTTTTCTCTATTAACCATAATGGTTGCCATGGTTTCGCGTTTGGTTTTATTGGTTGTAAACACTAAGCAAATAGCAGATATTATGTATGCATGCAAATGGATGATATGAAACGACAAGCATTGTATCGATCCGATAGCCTCACTTGTATGATTCTTAAAACAAAAAATATCTTATTGCGGGCTCAATTAAGAGCTATTGAGAGATCTACCACATAAAATGATAAACATTGTAGAGTTTAAAGTTACTAAATTAAAAGCAAGATTTAATACTGCAGACACATGGATGGAAGTTGTTTCATTGAAGCCAATGTAATTATATCAAATAAATTACAATTTTATTGGAAATACTAATTACTGTTGCTATTTTGGTATTTTTATCGTTTCCAGGCTTCAAAAGGAAAAAGAAGCCCTAAAGGTAATGAAAACTAACAATAATAAATAAATTCTCTTACATCATGTCACGACATGTTTTGTATATCCCCTAATATTACTTGTCATGTGAAAGAAAAAAAATTAATGTTGAAAGGAGCAAAATTTTAAAGCCTGTTATTTGAACATTGATTTCCGCAGAATGAAGCTGAGAGCAAATTTATTCAGCAAGAACAGTAAGTATTCCAATGCTGATGATACAAGCTCCACTGAAGGTCAAGTAACTTAATTGAACATCGGTAGTGCCCCTAGCTTTTATCAGTGTAAGCCGAGCGTGCCTACTAGTGCAGTTTTCGTATGACCGTGAAAAGCCCAGTGCCGTAAGCGTGCCTTGCCGTGACCGTGATGGCTTCTAGAATTTTGATTGGCTGATTTTTTTCTCGTGCAATGTGATTGGTCTGACAGTGCCGTGACCTTGGTGTGATCGTGTCTGCGCTGCTTTTATGCCGTGTTTCGAGTATTTGATTGGATGGAGAGTAAATTTCGAGCAGTGTGATTGGTCTGGCGTATCCCTTGCCGTGTCACGGTCGTGTTTGTGCCTTGAGGTTTTCAAAGTCATACGAAAACTGCTCTACTGCACTCAACAAAAAAGACACACACATGTTCCAGCCTTACTCAATCACACGCGGTAGACTCTTTCGAATAAATAAGATCAGAGTACATTTGACCAGTGAGTTTTGGTGAGGTGTGATGTTGAATGATTGGTGACATAAGACTATTTTATATTCAGGATAATCAAAGAACTGACGGAGAAGCTCAACCTTGTGCAGAATGTGGAGAAGGTAAGAAATCATCCCACATACACTAGTCTTTAGCTACGTTCGATATCTAATGTGCTGTATAGGTGTCAGCCGTTTGGGACGTTTTCTTGATGATAGTCATGATTATAATGACGATTGTGACGTTAGTTGAAGATCATGAAAATGATCTGAACGATGAAATGTGAACAAGATGTACTTACTAAGATAGTACTGATGATGGCAATGGATAATGAAAAAATTCTAATGATATTGATGATTATAATAATTATAATGATGATGGCGATGTTTAATTTAGTTCAAGATTACGAACTGAGATGATAATGATGAAAAGATGATAATCAGATTTACTTGACTAAGATAGTAATGATGATGGTACAGTGACACTGAAAGAACGTATGATGATGATGATGATGATGATGCTAGCGACGTTAATTGAAGATTATGAAGATGATAATGATGAAAAGATGATGATGATGTACTTACTAAGATAGTAATGATAGTAGTACAGTGATATTAAAAGAAATTATGGTGATGATCTTGATGATCGATAACGATGATGATAACTGTTAGAAAGACATTCTTTTTAAACAAGCTGAACAATAATCAATATTTTTTGCAGCATTTTGAAAGTTTTTAGTTGTTGATTGATAAAATTTTGATTTTGTTCAAGGTATCTGTGGAAGTACAGACGTTAACAAAACCATCAAATCCTTTCCGAAGATTCATCAGAAGGGTTCGACGAGTTCTTCGCATTAGATGAGGTGTTTCCTCAGTTACAGTTGCTTTATGTTTTATCGACTTTTTTTGTGGTATCGTTCGATATCGTTTATTCTAATTAGGTGTTTAGTTGATGAGGGCATTATCCAATCTTTAGGCTCTCATTTTATATCACGTTATTTTATGGCTTACTTAAGAATCAGAATCATAGCGAATAAATAGAAACAAACAAACAAAAAAAAAAACAAAACAAAAAAA